ATAATTTTATAAGCAATATTAAAAAACGGGATTAATCCTTTGATGCATTCAGAGAGGTTATCTGTATATTGAGAAATATGAAATTTATTGGTCGAAATCTATTATTTCTATTCTTTGTACTTTTATAGGCCTTACACGATGGATATCATAAAGAATCCCATCCTGTAATAATTTCTTTCATTACGGAACTTTACATAGATTTGAGACCCTTATCATCTGCTCCTTACGAAACCTTTGCACAATTGCCGAATATGGATCATGTTCAGTTGCAGGTAACGCTTAAGATATAACAAGAGTTTAGAGTGTCCACTTGTCAATTTTTTTATTATTATTATTAATAATGTCATATTTTATAGAAATTTGAAACGTCTTTAAGTCAAGCAACCGAAAGTAAAGTTCGTAAAAAAATTGTTAAAGAGTTCCTTGAAGGAATAACAGGAGTATGTTTTTTTAATATGTTTTTATCATCCTTTTATTTTTTAATTAGAAAGATGTTAACATTAATTTGTTATTTATACAGCTTTCCACAGAGGAATGGTTCAAATTACCTGATACAGCACCTGTGAGCTCAACGCGTAGGACAGTTTCTGGTGTTTACTCAAAGCCTGTAATTGGCGTTTTAGACGTAGTTGAGGACCCTTACGATGTTGGAATTGTTGATTTGTTTGATTAAGTCAGCCCTTGATTTACATGAATGTCTGATATTAGCGTAAACATAAATTGTGCAACTTGTATATATTGCATAAAAATGTTTTTTTTTATGATAATGTCTAAATAGAAAAAGCAAGTTGGCATTTGGATAGCTATAATTTGATTTTCTCAATTGTAATATAACAGAATACATTGGTTTGTCTTCAACGTGCATTCTAGTTATTCGAAACGAATTTGAGTTAAATTATATTCAATCTTGTAATTAATAATAATCAACCTTTTTGAAAAATTTAAATTTCTCATATTGAAATAAGTCAAAGTTTCAGCATCATTCCTGACAATGCTTAAAAATAAAAATAAATAATAAATAATATAGCTTAATTTTTAAATTTTAAAATAAATATTTTTCCTAATAAACATTTAGAGAATTATTAAACTTAATCAATTATAAATAATTATGAATAATAAGTTTATACGTAAGGATGTCTGTTTTGTATTCGGTGAGTAAGTTACCGTATATGAAAAAATAAAATTTTACTATGAAAAGAATTTAGTGGTACTAAGTAAAAATGGTGGGCATTAATTTTAAATACTTTCGTTTTTAAAATAACCCTAAGTTTAATATAGGGTATAATGCCCTACGAGTAATAAATTAAAATTTTGAATTTATACATATCTTTTTTAAAGCGACTAAATCAATCATCTAAATATATACCAATATAGAATAAGTAATAAATTTGTTTAATTATAAATACTGTAAGTTTAATATAGTACTCACCAAGAATTTCAACGGAATCGATAGGTTTGCTTCGTAAAGTTGCTAATATTATCATATATGCATAATTAGTTTTAAATGGATAATTGATATCGTGTAATTTTTTTAAAATAAATACCTTGAATTGCTGATATTCTTTGAGTGTTGATAATTTTGCTAGTGTACATAAAATCAGGATGTTTTGGCGAGATAACTGGCAATTCTTTGACCATTTTATCGGCATCTAAGAATTGCTTTTTAATTTCATCTGTATCATCTGAACTTTTCATGCTTTTATTCCATTCTTCGATTTTATCATCAACATCCCGAGCAGTAGGCCGTTTTTGTGGATCAAAATCCATACATCGCTTAGCTAATTCAATATAACAATCAGGAGTACCAGGAGCAAATTCAGGCCGTAATCCAAAGCAAATCTTTACTGCAAGTTCATCATCAAATTTATAACCATCAAAAGGTCTTTGTCCAGTTGACATTTCTGACATGATGACTCCAAATCCATAAATATCTGTAGCTAGCGTAAACTTTTGACCTGATAAAACCTCTGGTGCGACATAAGGCATGACTCCATAAATACAACTTTCTGAATCATTTTTGTCTTTCTCTTTGGACAATCCTAGATCTGAAACATAAGATTGTATACTCTCACTAATTCCTTTATCTTGCAAAATATTACCACTGTGAAAGTCTGAATGAATATATCCTGCACTATGAATTATCTGTAAATTTAATGAAATATCTTTAAGTAATTTTAATTTAGTCAGCCAGGTAAGGTCTTGAAAATTTGATCTTAAAAACTTATAAAGACTTCCACTATCTGCATATTGAAATACCATCAAGTATTCATTCGTTTCTGTGTTTTGAGTTAATCCATATATTTTGAGACTACTACCAAATACATTATTACATTTCATATGATTTCCAAACTTTATAAATTTATATAAACAAATTAGTTTAATATTGTATGTGTTCAATAAACTATACGATGAATAATTATTAACTTACTTCTTTCAAAAAATCGAGAGTTTTTCTTAGAATCAGGCAAGGTTTTCAGTGCAACTGTGCTAAATGGTTTACGTGTTCTCATAGGGCCTCGTATACCATCCAACCAGGTCGCAGAAAATACAGAACTAAATCCTCCTTGGCCAATTTGTTTAATATCATATAGTCTGTTAAATGGAATCCATTCAATCATTCCTTCATGTTCCCAAATTCTAAGTTGAAACCCTTTCATATAATCAT